AGGTTGAAAAGTTGTCGAAAAAGAAATACGTTGAGCTCCAGCCTTTGTTGCACTATTATTGTGAGTCCAGTCCATGTTTTACAAATGAGTCCAGTCCATGTTTTACAAACGAAAGTATGAAACCAGTCCATGTTTTACAAATGAGTCCAGTCCAGGTTTTACAAATGAATCCATTCAAGTCTTTAGATGTTGTTTAAAAACATTTTTTTGACGAACTCTTGCCTACCTTGTCATAATATTACTGTGATAATATATAGACGAAGTAAACGCGACACGCGCGCGAGATCACACGCGCAAGTCAAATTCAGGCCCGCCTATGGTAAAGCAGCTCTCAAGATTCACGTAAATTCAACAAAAAATAAAACAATAAGATGACTGTCCTTTGTGTACTTTTTTGCATTTCATTCGTGTTTATTATAATTTAGTACCATTAGACTAATGTTCTTTTTAAAATTTGTTTTCTATGTATATATGCTTTGTGATACAGCTCAATTCATACGTTAACCCTGATTTAATTGTCCTCATATATCATAATGTCAATATGCCGTTGACACACGAATCATTTCCATACATCAATTTTAATGTTAGCGACGAGAACACCAAGATTTCGATGCGTTTATCAATATACCATGACTATTATAATGCACGCGCGCCAAATCATTCGAATAAACCGTTTGTATGTAAATGTTTGACATCCAGGATAGGTATCCATTTTTGTTTTGCCTTTTCCTTCAGTTGTTCTAGAATTTTATTTTCAAGACTGTTCAGACACATGTCGATACGCTGTACTAAGTTCGTCCTTCCATGAGAATATGATGATGGCTGTCATAATGCCACGGACTGGATTGTATATTATAGGGAAGTAGCTTTCGTTTTAAACGCTGGAAATAGCGCGGTATCGAAGTTGTAGAACAGACCCATGCAATCACTGGCGTAGTCACAGCCGTATAAATAAATTATTATTCCTGTAGGAGATTAATCGAAGTAATTATAGTTTCACAGTGGAAAAAATACAGTTGAAAACGAGCTAATTTGAACTTTTAGCAGATGAAAAGTCTGAAAAGTCAAAATGACAAGCTTTAGCTTAGCTATAGCTTTTTCTAACGCACTTCCGCTCCTTGTTCTTTATTCGAATATAGGGCTATAGTTTCGCCCAGTGCCTATAAAATGCATATTTACAGACATTTACAATGACTTCTTTATCAATATTGCGGTTGCATTATCCGTGCACTTTCCGATACAGATGCGGCATTGTTCCATCGAGTATCTGATAAGAATCATTTCATTGCATGTCCATTGCTTCCCGTACAAAATTTTAGTGGAGACCATTTTTCTACTAAATAAAGAGTGGTAGTATAAGGTAATGGCAAAATTATAGAAAGTATAAATTAAGCAACAAAAAATTCTAAACGATAAGTTTTTTTATGGCTATACATCGTACTTATCTATGTTGATACGTGCAAAAACGCCCTATTATTCTTCTAACACTGCTTTGGGTCGACCAACAACACATGCTGAGGGGTCGACAAATGCTTACTAAAATATGTAATAAGTTCTTTCGATTTATCCAGCTATCTTTTTCAACATGTATAAGGACTTAGACTTACGGGCAGCCCTTATTCGAACATAGGGCTATGGACTCCCGGAACTTCATCCAGTTAAAATTCTTTATCACTTTTCGTTTCACATTATCCATGCACTTTCCGACATGGATGCATGCAGCATTGTTCCATTGAGTATCTGGCCGGAGTTATGATTGATACTGAACCATTTACTGCATGTCTTTTCCTGTTTAATTTTTTGCTTCCATATAGAACTATAAAGTCGAATTTTCTTGGAATAACAAGAGTGCATGGTATTATATTATATTATAAGGTGATGACAAAATTATAGAAAATATAAAGCAAACAAAAATTTTGAACGACAATTTCAAGTCTGCATATCGTACTTATATATAGTGTATGTTGATTCGTTCAAAAAGGTAACGCCCCAGTTCTATTCTAGCTCCGCGATAAAATCAATGATAACCACTGGCATTTATTATTTCACGCCTTCCATATATATCAGTTAAATTGATATTAGGCTAGGCTGCGTGCTGATTTTGTAAACATTATTGTGATTGCGTTGGACGCTAGTCAGCGAGAGCACGTACTACCGAGGTTTGAGTATGATCATGCATGAAATCTTGCGCTAATTCGCAGACGCGCGTATATGTATTATTTATTTAATAACCCGTTTTCCACTAGGCGAATTTATTTGCGTGACGCGAAGCGATATCTGAAATCCGATGATGTGATTGGTTTACGAAAAAATTCGTCGCGAAAAAGTAGAATCGCTTCCTATTTTTTATCTGTTCGCGCAAATATCTGTCGACAGCAATCTGTTCAGGCCTTAGTTATGCAAGAAGCTATACAACGCCATGTGCGACATACGGCCTCTTAAATGTTATCGATGAAATCAGTACGTAAGTATAAATGATATTAAAATTGCCTACTCATGTTCAGGCTATGGCATTTTTATATCGCTGCTGAAAACAGCACGATACTGCAACTCTCAAAATATTACATTTTAACGGCAAAGGGCCGGTTGTTCAAAAGCTGGTTAGCTTAAGTTAGCTTAAACCACTTTCACACGAGTTATCCCGGCTAGGCGAGGTGAAAACTGCATATATTCATTGCTGCGGAGCGAGCGAGCCTGAAGCAAGCGAGCGTAGCAGCAGTCTAATTGGCGCAGTAGGCAGTGAAAAGCAAATTTTTAGGGTTACGTTGCATTGTGGTTGTGCGCAGTGACGCAGTTGTACCAGGCCTGTTTGTATGCGCAGTTGTGCACAAATTAATCTCACGTTTCAGTGATATGGATTAAATACCAATATGGATTAAAAGTCAAACGTCCAAGTCTGGAAGAGGACCAGATTTAACATTCATTCTGTTCTTCATTCGCCTTTGTTTTCATTTATTATATGGTTGACAGTTGCTTGTCGTTTTGCCTGATTTCTACTGTAATTTGTTTTGATTCACAATACAAATATTCGCGCATTGATGTCTAGATTTTTCGTTTAGCATATCGTACGACGCGCGATATACAGTATTGACTATCAAATTGTATTTTAAGTATATTGCTGATTGTTTGGACTTGTTTTGACTCAGCTTGTGTTGATAATCCAAGTTTATTTCTTCATCTTTGTAATTGCGCCTCGTGTTTCATCGTCATAGTGTGCCTGGGCAGTCTGCCGTATTCGAATTTCATTTATTTGAACTATTAAACTGTTTGTATTCTCGGTTTCATTTACACTACGGTACTGCGCTTAATTCAGTGTGAGGTTTACTAGGGGTAAAAAGCTCAGGAAAAGCTGTAATTTAGTGTTTAAAATTTAAAATCCAAGTGTTATGTTTTACATATTTGTCATTGCGGCTCGTGTTTCGTTGTCGCTTGCCGCATGTATATAAATACAGTAAATGAGTAGCAATTCTTTGAAGGAACTGATTATATCTTCGATTTCATTTGCACCTCTGCGCTTGATAGTATTTCCTATTTTATCTTATTGTTAGACCACAGTTTAGTTTGATAATCGAAGTTTATTTTTACATCTTTATCATTGAGCCTCGTGTTTCATCGTCATAGTGGGTCTGGGCAATCTGCCATATACGAAAATACAGCAAACGAGTATAGCAATTCTTTGAACTATTTAAGGCAAGACGACGATGCCGAAGGGTCGCCGAATACAATGGATTGCCCTGCAAAAGGAGTCACTTACATTCTTATTTTGTTAACTTTACGGTTTAGTTCAAGCCCTGTTACACGATGCAATTTTTTTGGAACTTGCAAGCAACTCTACTCTTGAGAAATGTAGAATGCCAAAGCACGTGTTTTGCGTTGATATTTTTCCAATCCATATGGCATATCTTCATTGACTTTACTGATTACAAGCAGAATTCCAAGTTGCAAGAAAAATTTCACCTTAACACGTCCTTTGTTAAATTAGTTGCGACGTGATCGTGTGACACATATTTCACAAATTTCAACGCAAAAATTTCACTTTTTTTTAACAATTGTACAGTTTTTCCAATCCTGTTCTTATATGATATTTGGTTAAATTTGTTTTTAATTCCCGCAGCAATCCCTACCTTGCAGGTAACCTAGTACTGAAAGACTAATCAGGTTAAGCTTTTGATGTGATGCGCTTTTTACCTCGTCAGCTGGGATAACTCGCTTCATGTAAACATGCCTCAAAACAGTCCGGAGATCTTAATTGAATATGCAAGGTTGCCAAATGGAAATTAATAAGTTCTATTGACAACATACTGAGAACGAATACGACTAGAATCGAACTTTTTAATTAAAAAGAAATGAAAAACGTCACTGGATCTCTCTCAACAGTAAACGACTATTTTGACAAATCCACTTTTGAAATCAATAAAATATTCCAATTAATCATGGATTTTCTATTTTCGTAGAAAACCAAATGTATTAATTTCCTGGTTAAGGAATCCTAAATCTTGTCTGTGCTGTAAAATAAAGAAAGATGACAAGAAGACAAGTCTTGCTTTCCGTTTTATCGTAGCAACTCATTCAACAAATCACTGACGAATCACAAAAATTGAGATGAAAATCTATAAAAAGCATTCATTTCGGCATTTATCCCAGTGGTGAATCTTGATCTTCTTACATGTAGATCGGCTGTTAATGTAAAGTACTTCTTAAAGATTATCGTACTACAATGTGAATGTGACTGCATGCATGTGATAACGTATCAGTCTTGAATCCCCTAGCCGGGATAACTCGCTCCATGTAAACAGGCCCTAAAACAAAAAACCCTTAAAATAATAGACCGGAATCATTTGATCTTCATATGGACCTCACGGTAAAAGTATAGCACTTTATCAGTAATGGTTATCTTATAATAAAGTTCTTATTGTCATTATAATAATTTGTTGATAAATTTTTAAATGATAAAGCATATAGCTATGAAATATATATATATTTCAAGAGCTTGTATAGAGAGCACCTTACTAGACATGGGAGGTCTCGTTCTTGCAGGCTACGTTCTTGGTATAAATGTTCAAAAGACCATGTTTTAATTTCGATCTGAACCTCTTCATGCTAATAAAATATATAAAAGGATTGAGACACGAATTTAGAAAGCTAAAAGACATTAGCCATCGCCAAGTTATACGTTTTGACGTCTTTGTAATTGTATGATCAAATGTCGTTACGATTCTGTAAACAGAATATGGCAAGAACGTGGCGTAAAATAGACAAACGATAGAAAACGTTGTATACGCACTCTTCCTGTAGTTCCAAATGAATAACGAGTTAGATGAGTCTGAATCTGGAGTTAGGAAGTTTGTTTGGAGCAATAAAACAGCTTTAACTTGCTTTTTCGCTGCCCTCAGGATGACAATATAAATTATGGACATTAAAAACATATGTCCGATAGATAAACACGATAAAAAAAACTCGTAATCGGCGTGAATATTCAGCAATACTTTCTTATAACTTAGATAATGTCCCGTGGAAAGTGTAAACGCTATGCTCCAAGATAAGGATACTCCAAACCAAACTACTTTTCCAGTAGCCAAAGAATGATATCTCAATGGACGAATAATGGCTACAAATCTGTCAACACTCATAAGGACGATGGCGTTTCCAGTGTTGAAAATACAGAAAACAAATAAGGAAGTGTAGTATTGGTAATCACGAGTTGCTCTTCGTATGTGCAAAAGGTACGTTCGCCAAGGCAAATATGTCGTCAGGGAAACAAGATCAGCCACAGCTAGGTTTAACGTGAGTTTATCCGACACACTCAAGTGCAGATGTCTCCTCCGTAGAAAGAATATGATCTCGAGTAAATTCGCAGCAGATCCAAAGATGATCTGAAGTGAATTGAAGGTAACAAGGAAGGCAGCTTCATTTGAACCAAGGATGGGCTTCTGATTTAGACGGGTGGAATTGTAAAACATTTTGAATGTTGGGAATGAACGTATCTTCACAGCACGTATAGTTCTTTCCGCACACGACACAAAGTGAGTTCGTGGGAGATGATCCGGGAGGTATATTATCATGTAATTTTAAATGAGATCTCACCCTCTTTGTAAATAATGTATAGAAATTAAAGGGCTTTGCAGATGTTTTTAATGACGCATACTGGCGTACGTGTAGAGAGGCCGGAACATTTTATAAAAGGCGGCATTCTGTTCAATGTAAATATTTTCATTTGATGAACAACTGTACGGTGGAAATTCATACAGCATTGTTTGTGCAATAATAACATAATTCGTCTGGATGAGTTAAAACCTTTTTTAATTTAAATTTGTATGAAATGAAATGAAATATATTGGTTTTTATAATTTCATACGTAAGCAGGAAATGAGAACAGAAAATAAATGAGATATTCGACGCATTGGCAGAGATTGAATTTTCAATGCGACATTTATTTACACACTTAGAAACCAGATGAGGGGATGTAGTCCGCCTTTTGCATGATGGCGTAGGGAAACATTACGTCACCCAAAAATACGAAATGTGGTATTACTTTCCTTGAGCGCAGGCAACAGAAATACAAAATAACAGTGAAGAAAAATACACTAACATGGAACTTTGCACAACGAATATAATTTAGTAGTAGGATGCATTTTTACAGATGTGCAGGTATAATAACAATATGCCGCAAACCGGAAGAATTATGCACGGCGTTTTTACATATCCACTTCTCAGCCAAGTGGCCGCACGATGGGGAAACGCCACAGCTATTTATTAGTGCTTTGACCATGCCTACTGGAGCAAATACATAATATCCCGTGTTTTAAAGATTTAACTGCTACATTCCGATATTTATACGCAAATCTCTTTACACCCAATTGCACAGCAATGTCTGTTACCACACTATACGATTACTGCTGACTGCAAAACTAAAATTTTAGATCGGGTTGTCGAATTCTTTCTTCCATATGTTCATTTTGCGCGTGTTTTTTCAACATCTTCATCACCTCATTTTCATACTTTTCAGGTGTTTCTTTAACCCCAGTCATCCAGTAGTAAATATCCCAATCGTTTGTCGGTTCATTTATCAGAGTGTCGTACTGATCTAATAACTTTTCATTAGACGTTGTCAGGAATCCTTCCGCGAATGTACTAAATTAAAATAAAACATCATGAAATATATTATTGGCTTCTTAGTAAACGAGAGCGAGGTCTTTATCGAAAAAAATCGGGCCAAGGTCTTTCTGTATAAACCGAGCCCTCTGCATAAAGGTGATGCTTTTACTAAAAGATTAAGGTCATATATTTCTAAGTAAAGGCATAAGGCATGCATTTGCACTTTAAATCAAACAAGAAATGCATGAATTTTTATCAGCAGCGAGTCACACACTTGATAAAAACAACAAAATAATTTTTTGCAAACATTTTAACCGGGCATCTCATTTATTACGACCGATATAAATAAAATTTTCTGCTAGACTTCTTCTGGTTTTCATGTCGTAATGCATCGAAATTTTCCGTGAAAGACCAATCACACAGATCCATTTTACTGGAAGTAATACTGGCTAAAAACTCTCCCGAGAAGTGAAGATGCAGAGGTAACTTCGTGCTGTATATTTTTTGTGCATCTTGACATTTACCACCTAGCTCTATAGAAGGCCATGGCGCGGGTTCACCTACTTTAACCGAATAGACCTTTCCCCTTTTAGCATTCAAGCGCGCAATGCGCGACGGTAGTTGATTATCAATCAACTTTGGGTTGCGATATCGTTCTGCTTTGAAGTGATTTTGTTTGTAAGAAAACTCTGCCGATTCTTTTTGCTTCTTTCTTAAACTGAATCTCTCCTGCATGAACACGGCGAAATCACAACTCAAATTGACCTTGATAATCAACTACCGTCAGCAATTGCGCCCTTAAAAGCTAAAAGGGGAAAGGTCCATTACTCGAAACAATTTTATCGTTGGCTACACAACCTTTACGAACAAAACAACTGAAGAACTGTTTGGTATTGAATCGCTAAAGCTATATAGTAGCTACTATAAATGGAATGAATTCGTGTTCAAAAAATCAGAGACATGGGAAACGTCAAGAAGTGCTTTCCGCCTATTCTATAAATGCGACATTTGATGAGAACTTGTGTGAAGACGCTGCCACACGCTGTGAAGACGCTGGTTTTATCGGAAGTTTTTATGAAGAAAGATTTGCGTTACCCTAACCAGCTTTTAAAAAACTGGCACCAGGGCCACATTGGAGGGAGGAGTGAAGCGCTTGGCCAACCCCTTTGTTGAAATTAATTTTTGATCGAGAGGGGCAAGCTTGTTGCTTGGATTGTCAATTGTATGCGATTTAATCCGCTATAACAAGTAGCTATGTTTCGAATATGACTTTTCGATCATTTCTAATGTACTATTAAAAAGAGGCCATAATTGTAAAGTTTAACTTCATTCCTCACATCATTTTGATGAATTACCTTAACAACAAGCCATTTTCTAACATTCCTCTTTTCCTAAAAGAAAAAGGACAATGTTAATATTATAATTCCTATAGTTTACGAATCAACAAGACGCCCAGTAGGCGTTAACTCGGGCTTAATAAATACACTGCACTGAAACTGAGCTATATTGATACACGGTAAATACGCGACTGTCCGCGGTAAAGACTGAAGGCCGTGTTACACGGTGCAATTTTGCCTGCGACTTGCAATGCGATTCTTTTTTTGAGAGATGTAAATTTGGCAACTACCGAACTTTTGTCTTTATTATACTCCATGGCGTTTCTTACGCTTACATTTTGAAGACTATTCACTAATTTATATCTCTTAAAAGTAGAATTGCGTTGCTAGTTGGAAGAAAAATTGCACTGTGTAACATGGCCTTAGGCCTGTGACACACACAAAAAATAATAATCACGAAACCTTAGGCTCGGCTACTACAGGTAGCCCAAGTAATTATTTTCATTAAATATGTAAATAAACATGAGTGATTTAGTGACTAAAGTACGCTAAATCTTTTCACTCAAACCATTTAACAATTAGACAACGAGTCCGAGTTGTCTATGAGCGAATAGTCAACGAAGGCGAGTTGTCTAATTGTTTTAGTATACACCCTGTACCTAGATATATTAATTTCGAGAAAATAATCGATACACCGCAATTACACCGAAAAATAATTTAATTAATTCAATTTTTACGGTCGCGCGAGCGAATTTTTCCCAAACGTTCACCATCACGAATAGAGAATGGTTGAGTAGCCAATCAGAATGTAGGATTTGTAATAGACAATAGTCGGGTGTATACTAATTTCTAATAGGTATAAGTATAAACTGAATGGATATCACAAAGTATAAATATCCCAAATATAGTAAGTAATATGAGATTTGAGCCAGTCACTGCTTGATTACAGTTTCCTCAATTATATTGTGAACCAAATAAAGGCAATAACAAGGTACTTTAATTACTAGAGTATTAGTCACAAGGTCTAGCTTTGGCAAAGAATGAGAAGTTCTTAATTAATATATTACAATCCGATCCAATTAGAATTTCTAATGAAAGAAAATATTATTAACAGCTAAAGTGTATCACATGATATTATCACAATAGCAAGGAAAAGTTAAAATATACTGGCAGCATTACTTGGTATCAGACTATGTACATAGTACTTAGTGCCATCCAAATAAATCACTTTGTACGTGATATTTAAGTGATGTGTATTCAGGTAATCGCACTGATGAAGGCCCGGGTTAACAGACCGAAAGCTTTGCAGTATTAAATACTTATGTGGTGTACCTATACACATTAGCTAAATTTACTTATTGATGTCACCATGCAAACATAAAAGAATATTATTATAGAAGTAGTTTCTGTTTCAAACATCTCTTTCTCAAACCAAATTTATATCTTAATATTATAGCTTGAATTAGATCATAGCTAACAACCTTCAAATTTTTACATAGTCAATCTAACTGATTCTTTTTGATCATGAAGGATAATAAGACATGCTGCAGTTTATGTTTCAAAATGCACAAGACTAGATGAGTTACCATAACTAATTTGAACAATTATCATCAAAACATTCAAGCAAATTAGCCTTTTTCCAATTGTGTTAATTCATTTTACATGAAACATTTGCATATTTTGAATTAAAGTAAATAGGGGCAAATAATTGATTCAGCAATACAGTAAAAATTATTTCCACAAAAATATATCCATTCAATAATTGTTCAAAATTCTATTTGATGTTATATCTAAGACTAGATAATTAATAAGACTAAAGAAAACTTGAAGAGGTTGGGAAGAGTGATATGTGACCAATCCTAAGTACCACCATCATTGAGGCATAAATTGCACATGCAGTATGTATTTGTGTGTACGGAAAGTAAAAATCTGAAATTGTAACTGGAAATAGAGTGATGATTACTGCTTGCATCTGAACTTCCACTAACTTTAAGTTCAGAGGTTATAAGACACACAAGACAAAAAAAAAACACATCTTCAAAATGTTCAAGCATATTAGCTATATATTCCCACTAGAAGAATATAAATTATTAATTATTAATTTCATTAGAAATGATTTCAGTCCACACACTATAAATTTAGTGATTGAACACAACAAATTTAGGCAGGTTAGCAGTGAGAGCAATGACCTGCACAAAATCTTGTTGTCTTTCATGAATGAATTTGTCAATTACATGAAGTTACGTATCTACTGTAAGAATTTGATAAGGGGGCAAAATAATCAATACCATAAAACACAAGACACATAGTCAGGATATAATTCCTTTAAACAAATGTTTGATAGACTACAATTTGAACTGCTGTATTGCTTGAAATATTTCTGCCTAAAGATCTAAAATAATAGTAGTAACAAAACATGAGAAGGTTCGTAGTTTTTCAAATAAATTATAGCCTGGACCCACAAACGACCCGAAACATATGACAGACATAAGACACTGTAACCCTTTATATTAATTAAACAATAAGCTGACTTAGTGTTAATTGTGGGGAGTGTTAACTGGGGGAACTT